CCTTTGGTCGCCGCGAAGGCTCGCGCCACAGGCCTTCCCCTGTTCGCCGTGGCCGCGCCCCTGTTGGTCACCGTGGACCCGGTGTTGCCCCGCCACCGCCCTGCGGCTCCCTGCTGCAGCCGCCGGTGCCAGCGTGCGTCGGGCCTGCTCGGTGCCCCCTCGGGCACCCGTCCGTTTGGGCGCCCGCACCACCGCCCGTTAACGTGTGCCTGTGCCCGTTAAGGCCCCTAAGGCCCTATGACATGTGGGGCCCGCCCCAGAACGTAATTAAGAATAAAATTAAAATTAATTAATTTATTAATTAATTAACTTAATTAATTTTGATTAATTAAATTAAACAACTAATTAAACTAATTACACCTTAGTGACCTAATTAACCTGATCTGTTAATTAGTTAATTAAGTAGTCAATGACAGTGGGGCCCACCCCTAATTGATACTAATTAGGTTAATTAAAATGTTTAATTAAAATGTGTCACTGACCAGTGGGACCCACTGGTCAGGTTGACCAGTCAACTCTGTTGACTACTGACGTCAGCATGACATCGTGCTGATGTCATTATTCCATTTTTGAATTAATTTAAATAATTAATTAAATTCCAGAAATTAATAAAATCTTTAGAAAATCATAACTTTTAATCCGTAACTCGGATTAAAGTATTTTCAACATGAAAGTTGCTCTGAACGACGAGACGAATCCGGATACGCAGTCCGTTCATCCGCCACACACCCCTAACCTATCGAACCCGCAACTTTCCCCCTCCGGCTCCTCTGCCCGAAAACACGAAACCCCGGGAATACTTTCCCGGATGTTTCCCCCCTTCGTCGGTATCACCTACTACCGCGATTGGGCACACCTAGCATCGTTACTTGTCATGTCATGCATCGATATGCATTTGTTTGCATTGTATTCATTGTTTCTTCCCCCTCTTCTCTCCGGTAGACTACGAGACCGACGCTGCTGCTGCCCAGTTCGACTACGGAGTTGACGACCCCTCCTTGCCAGAGCAACCAGGCAAGCCCCCCCTTGATCACCAGATATCGCCTATTATCTTCTATACTGCTTGCATTAGAGTAGTGTAGCCTGTTACTGCTTTCCGTTGATCCTATTCTGATGCATAGCCTGACATTGTTGCTACATCTGTTGATACCTTACCTGCAATCCTAAATGCTTAGTATAGGATGCTAGTTTATCATCATTGGCCCTACATTCTTGTCAGTCTGCCTTGCTATACTATTGGGCCGTGATCACTCGGGAGTTGATCACGGGTATATATTATACATACATACATACTATACAGATGGTGACTAAAGTCGGGTCAGCTCGAAGAGTACCCGCGAGTGATTCACGGATTGGGGGCTGAAAGGACCTTTGTCCCGACGGCCCTCTGTGTGGATCTTTGTGGCGGAGCGACAGGGCAGGTTGAGACCGCCTAGGAGAGAGGTGGGCCTGGCCCTGTTCGGTGTTCGCGGATACTTAACACGCTTAACGAGATCTTGGTATTTGATCTGAGTTGGCTACGAGCTTATACGCACTAACCATCTACGCGGGAGTAGTTATGGGTATCCCGACGTCGTGGTATCAGCCGAAGCACTTCAGATGTCAGCGACGGAGGGGCGCGCGCCGAATTGGACTGGAACGCCACTAGGCTAGGTCTGCTTTCAGCCGCCCTCGCAACGTGCAGGTGTGCTATGGGCGATGGGCCAAGACCCCTGTGCGCTTAGGTTTAGACCGGCGTGCTGGCCTCTCTGTTGTGCCTAGGTGGGGCTGCGACGTGTTGATCTTCCGCGGCCGGGCATGACCCAGGAAAGTGTGTCCGGCCAAATGGGATCAAGCGTGCTGGGTAAGTTGGTGCACCCCTGCAGAGAAGTTAATCTATTCGAATAGCCGTGATCTTCGGTAACAGGACGACTTGGAGTTGTACCTTGACCTTATGACAACTAGAACCGGATACTTAATAAAACACACCCTTCCAAGTGCCAGATACAACCGGTGGTCGCTCTCCCTCAGGGATACGAGGGGAGGATCGCCGGGTAGGATATGCTATGCGATGCTACTTGGAGTTGCTACTTGGAGATGCTACTTGGAGGACTTCAACCTACCCTCTTCTGCCTGTTGCAAGACGAAGGTGACCAGAAGCGTAGTCTTCGATAAGACTAGCTATCCCCCTCTTATTCTGGCATTCTGCAGTTCAGTCCACTGATATGGCCCTTTACACATATACCCATGCATATGTAGTGTAGTTCCTTGCTTGCGAGTATTTTGGATGAGTACTCACGGTTGCTTTCTCCCCCCTTTTTCCCCCTTTCCTTTCTTTCTGGTTGTCGCAACCAGATGCTGGAGTCCAGGAGCCAGACGCCACCGTCGACGACGACCCCTACTACACCGGAGGTGCCTACTACTACGTGCTGCCCGCTGACGACGACCAGGAGTAGTTTGGAGGATCCCAGGCAGGAGGCCTGCGCCTCTTTCGATCTGTATCCCAGTTTGTGCTAGCCTTCTTAAGGCAAACTTGTTTAACTTATGTCTGTACTCAGATATTGTTGCTTCCGCTGACTCGTCCATGATCGAGCACTTGTATTCGAGCCCTCGAGGCCCCTGGCTTGTATTATGATGCTTGTATGACTTATTTATGTTTTAGAGTTGTGTTGTGATATCTTCCCGTGAGTCCCTGATCTTGATCGTACACAATTGCGTGCATGATTAGTGTACGATTGAATCGGGGGCGTCACAGCTGGGGACCGAGCCGAATATGAGTCTTTTAGTGTCGGTTAGGCAGCATGCCAGGCTGACAAGCATTGGAAGGTGGCGCAGCTCGATCACCATGAACTTGCACTGGTCCAGGATGAGCTCCCTGACCTCTGAACACGGCGCGTCCACCACCACATAGTCCTGTGCACAGCAGCAGGATATCAGGTGAAGCACCTGCAGCCGTGTGCACTCAGTAAACACCCTCTGGTACACGTCAACGGGCGTGGAAGCGGCCATGTCTCGCAGGACCAGCGTGGTGAGAGCGCCGTAGCTATGCTGCGGCGGGAGTGTGCAGTAGTTACCCAGCGTCAAGCTGCGAAGGCCGTCCTTGAGGCAGTCGTGGTCGTGAGGAAAGCGGTATGGCGGCGCCTTAAGGACATGGCAGGAAGCTTGCCTGGCAACGACCTCCAGATCCTCCACTCCCCATGCGACTACCGCTGCGGCAATCAGGCGGTCGACGACGCAGCCGCCATCGTGTGCCTGGAAGAAGTCCAGGCGCAGGGTCTTGGCGCGTCGACGTGCGTCGCCGTCAGCAGGGCCACCGCCCGCTTCCAAGAATCCGGTGATGCCGTCGATGAACGCCGTGATCGTGTCGATTTCGCAGCGTGCCATGAGACGGTCCAGCATCTCGGCCAGAAAAGTGTCATGCGGCATGTTGCGCCGGCGGAGGGCGACGGCCCGGTCGTACTCGGGCGGGAGCACATCGCTGACCCTGAAGTCGAGCTCCGGCAGATCGCGGGGGATGTGCGCCCAACGCCTGGCCAGGACGGCGGTGGACAGCGCGGTGCGGGTGTCCAGCCTGCGTACTATGAGGCGGATGAGATCGTCGGGTAGTGTGCTGAGGCGGTCCTCGCCGCCGGCCGTGCCCGTGCGTGGTCGCACGCGACGCGGCATGGCAGCTGGCTTGGAAGTCCCGTAAAGCTGGCGGAGGCCTTGGGGCACGATCTGTAATGGTAGGCTCGATCGGATCTGACTCTTGATTCTCGGTTCCCCGGTGAAAGCGCGATCTCGGCATTGCAGTTTTCCAGGTATTGGAACGGATGGGAGCACGGGAAGGAAGCAGGCAAGTCGGATTCGGACACTGACCCGATTCCTAGCATGCATGCATTGACCGCCATGCAATGGCTAGGCGGTGGGGCCGTGCTAGACTACGTACGTACGAGGGCATCAACGGTGCCATCAGGATGTCATGCGGGCACAACCTCCTAGTGTGTTTTGATTTGAGGGGAAAAAGTTCAAAACAAACCTTGCACTAGTAAATGACAGCTAAATCAAACTCTAAGTTTTCAATTCTTGAAATCAGCACACCAAACTTTATGGTCCCAGTCTATTTTGCATCTTAAAAGTGTTTAGACAATTGAGAGTGTTTCGCTCTTTTTTTTAGTTGTTGAAAGTGTTTAGCTGGGATTTGTTGACGTGGCAAGTCAATTGGGCCGGCCCATTAGCACAGTCACTCACGCACCCGCTCTGTCTGGTTATTCTTTGTGTTCGTCTAAAAAAAGATTATTCTTTGTTTTCTCATCAATTTGTGGCTTTCTTTTTTCCTCATTATACTTTGTTTTCTCACTGCTTTTCGTTTGTTTTCCTTCTTTGTTATACTTTCGGTTTCCTTTTGTTTCTTTCTTGAATTCTTCAAATTTTTTATTTCTTTGCCGGCATTAACCGGTTTTATTTATTACACATGTTTGTTTTTTCTCAGTACACGATGTACATTTGTAATGCACACATGAATTTTTTTTTGATACACCTTCAATAGTTTCCAAATACATTATGTATTTTTTTTCAAATACATGTTTTCTACTCATTTTAGAACAGAAGGTTACTTTTTTTCAAATACACATTTTCATATTTTTAAATGACAATAAACATTTTATAAAATTCTATAAACATTTGTTTACATTGTTTTTACACATTTGTTCAGGTTTTTAGATGCCACGGAAACTTTATAAAGCTATATGATATTTTTTAGATGTCACAAACATGTTTCTTATCCATTTGCTCAGTTTAAAAAAAACATATTTATAAAAATTTCAAAAAGATTTCGCACTTCAAATTTTGTTCACATTTCCAAATTTGTTGCCATTTAAAAAAAACTAAAAAAAATTGCACTTTAATATTTTGTTCAGGTTTCAAAATGTGTTCCCATTTTCTCAAAAATGTTTATGTTTCAGAAGTGTTCATTTTTTCAAAGTTGATCAGTTTTTCAAAAAATTGTTTGTTTTTTGACTTTGCGATTTTTTTTTCGAAACTCCTGAAGAGTTTTCAGATTTGAGAATCTTTTTTGTGTCTAATTTTTTTTTCCGGATTTGCGAAGGAAATTGAGTTCACGAACATTTTTACAACTCCTGAAGATTTTTCATATTTATGAATTTATTTTAATTTCTGAACTTTTTTCAGATTTGTGGACTTTTCTCAAAATCATGCTCATTTTTTCAAATTCGTTAAAAAACCATGACTATTTGTCAGGCTGACCGGCCCACCAAAGGAGTGACATGAGAGATGTAATCCTAGGGTCGTCTCTTTCCCGGTGCACCAAACAACTTCAGGGTTCAGTTTAGACCGGGATTAATAAGTTCGGTGTGCCAACGACTAGGATTCGAAGTTAGGGATTTGATTTAGCTAAGCTCTACAAGTTCAAGGTTTAAAATGGGCATTTTCCGAAGGCAATCAATAAAAGAAGGAGACGCATGCATGCGCGGGCGCGGCGAGTCCTCAATGTTTCACCTTCACGCGTGGAGAGGAGAGGAACAAAGAAGGAAAACCTCGTCTCGCGCGCTTCGCGTGACCCTGTTCGCGTGGAATAATAAACAAACGATTAAAGATGTCAGATTGATCGGTAGCACGACCCTCGGGAAGTTGTGCATGTTCCCCTTAAAACGGAAAAAAAATCCAAAATAAACCTTGAACTCGTAGGCGTTAGCTAAATCAAACCCCGAACTCCAAATCTCAGCAATCAACACTGTCAACTCTCTAATCCCGATCCAAATTGAACCCTGGTTGCACTTCCAAACAGGGATTGATGATGTCGCGGAACGAAATTGGGATTGGTCATTGTTGGGCGTGTACAAGTTGGGTTGGCCCATAGCGGCCTAGAGCGCTCCCCTGTTCTTAGTCCAGAGGCAGCCCGCGCATGGGGCAATCCATCCCCACTCATGGCGACCCATGGAATTCCCCTGCTCGAGCAACAGCAATGGCGACAGGAGGGTGATCGGCTCTAGCGCCGACGATCATGACAACACGATGATGAGCCACGTCAAAGTTACTATCTCCGGTGTACTCCTCCTCTGGTGGTCGTAATTTATTCTCTGACCGTTGTTAGTGTTAGGGTTTGAGAGAGAAAAATTGGGGCTTTTCTTCGGTTATAAAGCTAGGTTTGGGGGGTGTGCAATTTTTGTCATTCAAGTTTGTTTTGGTTAAATAATGGACCCTAGTAAGATCTTGAACGTCAGATTTCATTTTGGAGGCGAGTTCATCCACAATGGTCCTGTTTTGGATTATGTGGGTGGAGATGAAAAGATTTCAGAGATCGAGAGAGACAAGCTATCATTGCAGGAAGTTCAAGGGAATTTGAAAGACCATCTGGATTTCAAGGAATCAATGAAGTTATATTTTCATCATCCTGGGAAAGAACTAGCTGATGGTTTGATGTTCTTATTCGATGACAATACTTGTGCGAGGATGTCGTACTGCATCTGTGTTGGAGATGTAGCAGATGTTTATGTTGAATACCATGGGGAGCAGGATAGTGAGTACAACAGCAGTGGTATTGACTTTGAGAATGAGATAGTTGATCTGGATGATGAATTGATGATGAAGCTGAAGAACCTGACATTGTCATTAGTGCTGAGCCAGATGACAGTTGTGTGCTCACTCAAATAAGTATCAGTCAAGTTGAGCAGCCTAGGGCAAGAAAAACCACACTAGCTAGTGAGGTTGTCGATGTGGCAGGTTCTCAGCTTCCATTTTCTCAAATATGAAATCTAGGTCAAGGACTAGCACAGACTTCATTTTCTCAAAAATGTTGTCGTGGCGATCGTTTCAGAAAATGTTGCTGCGGCGCCAAAATTCAGAATTTCTGTTGTACCACGAAATTATAGCCCACAAGTACAGGGGATCGCAATAGTTTTCGATAAGTAAGAGTGTCGAACCCAACGAGGAGCTAAAGGTAGAACAAATATTCCCTCAAGTTCTATCGACCACCGATACAACTCTATGCACGCTTGATGTTCGCTTTACCTAGAACAAGTATAAAACTAGAAGTACTTTGTAGGTGTTGTTGGATAGGTTTGCAAGATAATAAAGAGTACGTAAATAAAAAGTAGGGGTTGTTTAGATAAAGAAACAATAAAGTAAATATAGCGAGTGTGGAAAAGTGGTGGTAGGAGTTGCGAAATTGCCCCTAAGCAATTGACTACTTTACTAGACCGATAGCAAGTATTATGTGGGAGAGGCCACTGCTAGCATGTCATCCCTGACTTGGAATTCTATGCACTTATGATTGGAACTATTAGCAAGCATCTGCAACTACTAATGTTCATTAAGGTAAAAGCCAACCATAGCATTAAGATATATTGGTCCCCCTTCAATCCCGTATGCATCAATTTCTATGCTAGGTTGAAGCTTCTGTCACTCTTGCCCTCCAACACATAGTCTTATCAACATACAACTAACCCTAGGGTGTGATCCACGCGCGCAATCATATGATGGGCACCAAAGGACAGCAACATAACCACAAGCAAATTAAATCAATCATAGCAATTCATCAACCACCGATAGGACAATGAAAATGTACTCAGACATCATAGGATGGCAACACATCATTGGATAATAATATGAAGCATAAAGCACCATGTTCAAGTAGAGGGTACAGCAGGTTGCGGGAGAGTGGACCGTTGTAGATAGAGGGGGGAAGGTGATGGAGATGTTGGTGAAGATGGCGGAGTTGTTGGTGTAGATCGTAGTGATGATGATGATAGCCACGAAGGCGTTCCGGCGCCACCGGAGGAGAGGGGGAGAGGGGCCCCCTTCTTCCTTGACCTCCTCTCTAGATGGGAGAAGGGTTTCCCCTCTGTTCCTTGGCCTCCATGGCATGGGAGGGGCGAGAGCCCCTCCGAGATTGGATCTATCTCTTTGTTTCCCTCTGGTTCTGCGTTCTCCTCTGGTATATATGGAGATCCATAACTCCGATTGGCCTAAAACCTTCGCCGTGATTTTTTCCCCAATATTAGCTTTCTTGCGGCAAAATAAGAGCGTCAACCGCCTTTCGGTGGGCTCACGAGGGTAGGGGCGCGCCCCCCACTGCCTCGTTGTTGGGTTTCGTAGTAATTTCAAAAAATTTCCTACGCACACGCAAGATCATGTGATGCATAGCAACGAGAGGGGAGAGTCTTGTCTACGTACCCACGCAGACCGACTGCGGAAGCATTGACGCAACGTAGAGGAAGTAGTCATACGTCTTGACGATCCAACCGATCAAGCACCGAAACTACGGCACCTCTGAGTTCGAGCACACGTTCAGCTCGATGACGATCCCCGGACTCCGATCCAGCAAAGTGTCGGGGAAGAGTTCCGTCAGCACGACGGCGTGGTGACGATCTTGATGCACTACAGCAGCAGGGCTTCGCCTAAACTCCGCTACAGTATTATCGAGGAATATGCTGGCTGGGGGCACCGCACACGGCTAAGGAATAGATCACGTGGATCAACTTGTATGTTCTAGGGTGCCTCTACCTCAG